AAATGGATGTTTATTTCAAATTTATAAGGCCTTTTTTCAGTCTTTGTGGAATTGTTTTAAAGATATTTTTAGTTTGACTGGAGTATATAAGATATTGTGCTCGGTGGTCAGCAATGAAAGGTTCGATAACCCCTGTATCAATAAACTCAATATTTAAATTTGTTGAAATATTGTCCAGACATATTGCAGATGCAGCTGGAACTTTTGTGTAAGCATCTAGTTTTACCAAAATAAAATAACAGGTCTTAAAAATATATTTTGTACCTTAGGGGCTAAAACATGCATTTTACTCCCTCATTTTAGGGACTGAAGTGCCACTTTTACTCCCTTGGGACTAAAATATTTTAGTCCCAAGGGATTAAACATTTTTAACATAAAATAACAAAACCAATAGAAACCATATCAAACTACTTTATTCGGGAGGTAATACAACAAGACCTCTTTTATAAGCGAATAAATTTATCGATTTTCCCGAAAATAGTTTTGTTTAAAACTTTGCATATAATTTTATTTATTAATAGTACAATTATTATTAAAAATAAAATTGATTACTATATAACGTCAAAATAGTCTTCATAGTCAAAATAATAAATTGCAATTTGACATGTGTATACCCAGTTGATTTACGTATAATGTGTTACCTATATTCAAGGAGGACATTGAAGTTTATTCGTAAAGGAAGGAAGGCGAGTTTATTAGTGAGTAAATGTTGACAGATGAGGAAAATAATAATGAAATTAATTAAATTAACAAAAAGCAGTAATCTTTAGTCCCTCAAATAACAAAACCAATAGAAATAATATTGAGTGTTTCTTTTCACATAATTACTCAAAAAAAAAATAATAAATTACCTTCTCCCGTTCTACAGACCTAAATAGCTTTAATAGATGAAAGTTCTGCTGCACAAAATTCACCACACGTGCAATTTAATAAACTAACAGACTTTATTGCTACCTTATTGTTGCTAAATATTGCGACCCCCCATGCAGTGGCGGATTTACCGGTGCGCTTAGTACGCTAATGCGTAAGTCCTCGAGCAGAAGGAACCCCGTAGGGGTCCCCATATTAATATTTTATCGATAAATAAATATGCATTAACGATTTATCTTCTTATAAAAAATATTTGTTTATAAACATTACATATGCCTAGGTTGGATTTACAAAAAGGTTACCTCTACTACTGGATTCTTGAAATCTTTTTATAGAAGATATTAGAAACAAAAGAATATTCCGAATAAAACAGTTAAATGCCAATACTTATTGGAAAAGCTTAAACAATTATTTGATATAGGGAAAATGTTGAAATACGAAAAGTTATGAAAAAATTATCGATTATAATAAAGATCTTAAAGAAGAAATAATTAGTGAAGCGATGCAGTTTAAGCAATATCTAAAAATCTCCAATCCTAAAAAAAATTACATGCTCAGAAATGTATTGTAATGTGAGCCATTTCATTATTCAGTCATGCTCTAATCCTCCAAGTCCCTATCTGTCTTATTTGGCCTTTGAGGCTCAATTTGTCCGATTATCATACATAATTAAACCCCTTAAGACCAAACATATGTGACGGCTATGGCGGAGGTGCTTTCGATTACTATTCGAGAAAGAACGGGATGTTTCTAGTACTTTCCAAATATTTGTAGTTTGGTGGAGGAGCGTTCTGGAACTCACCAAAAATTAGAAATAAGACCATTGGAAAATATCTGTCAAAAGTGGTTTCAAACCATCAGAGAGATTGGGATCAGTATCTTTCGCTGTCAATGAATCAACATGCCAGACACCAGCAAAGGTCTTGTTTGGGCGTGAGATGAGACTACCGTGCGACCTCGAGTTTGGATGTCGACCTGGAGAAGATGTAGCTGGTAAAGATTATGTAATTCAGTTACGAAGAAGAATGGACGATATGCATGAATTGGTCCGCTCGCATCTTCAAATTGCCAGCGACAGGATGAAGAAACGATACGATACCCAAGCAAGAGAAAGATGTTTCAAAGAAAGCAACAAAGTCTGGTTCCATAACCCAAAAGGGTTATTCTCCGAAGCTTTAAAGGTCTTGGGAAGGTCCGTACCTCATCGAGAATAAAATAAATGATGTAATTTACCGTATAAGTAAGATCCCAAACGTTAAACCGAAGGTAGTGCATCAAAACAGGCTGGCGCAATTTGAGGGTGACCATGAAGAAGAAGTAAACCAACTTCAAGAAACACCAGACCTTGTCTTTGAAGAATTTATGGGTGCATATGGAGGTACTGAAAAAGCCAAATATGGTGTTACTACCGAGCAACAACAAGATCTGCTTTCGCTTCCAAAAGACTACTCCCTGGTCCATCCATAGTACGAGGATGTATCAGAAAATAACGAGACTGGTGCTATAGTATAACAACGAAACATTTATTTAAAAAAATTCAACAACTATCCTTCAAAGTACTCTCCATTCTGTTGAATACACTTATTCCATCGCTTTATCCACTTATCATAAACTTCTGAGAAACCATTTTTTGATAGTCTGTTTAGTATACCCATCACAGCGTTGTTGAGCTCTAAATCCGACTCAAATCTTCTACCTCTCAATTCTTTTTTGACTTAAGGAAACAAATGGAAGTCACATGGAGCAAGGTCAGGAGAGTAGGGGGGATGAACCCCTAATTCTTTAATTGTTCGTTGACAAATCATTGATCTATGAGCCGGAGCATTGTCGTGATGCAGCGTCCAGCCAAAGTCCTGATAAAGCGGCCTTTTTTCTTTAATTTTGCCTTTAAGGGTCCCCGAAGTACATTAGAATAGTACTCCTCTGTTACTGTATGTCCTCTAGGTACAATGTGATCGTAAATAACGCCAAATTTATCAAAAAAAATCAGGTGCATCACTTTACCAGCGCTTTTAGCAGTTTTGGCCTTCTGCGGTCTTGGGCTGCCTTTATGCTTCCATTGCATACTTTGAGACTTCAATTCAGGATCGTAATGATAAAACCAACTTTCGTCACATGTAACCACATTATTTAAAAACTGTGGGTTACGTTGCAATTGCCTTTTCCACTGCTGACAAATTGTCACTCGATTCGCTTTTTGTTCATCGGTCATCACTTTTGGAATCCATCTTGCCGCGATCTTCCGGTACTCTAAATCTTTATGAATAATTTTTTGAGTGGTACCGTAAGACAAATTAACATTGTCAGAAATTCGTTTTATGCCAATCCGGCGATCATTTTGTATCAAGTCGTTAATTTCTGCAATTTTTGTGTCATTTCTCGCAGTTTGTGATCGACCGGGACGAGGTTCATCTTCAACTGATTCACAACCGTCTTTAAACTTTTTATGCCACTCAAACACTCTACATCGTGATAAACTATTATCTAGATATGCACCTTTAATCATTTCAAGTTTCAGTTGGTGTTTTACCCAATCGAACACAAAATTTTATCGCGTATCTTTGCTCCACTTTCATTTTTCGATGGGTACGCAAAACACTGACAATTCAATAATTAATTTGTAACAAATGTCAAAAGTTAAATCAAAGCCTACTTGCGGGGTAGTACATTAAATATAAGGCTTTCATGTCTCATTTTTTGGGTTATAAAATATTACCTCTGAAAGAAGTTATAGCACCAGTCTCGTTATATACTGATATATCCTCGTACTTCCGCCAGCATCAACGACGTGCGAGGACTGGCATATGTGTTCCGTAAGAAGTTTGGTCAACTGCTAGAACTTCAACGTCAGTTACCAGCCCTAGGAAAAGCCTTGAAACTTCAAGACGAATCGCGCTACCTTTTCTATTTGATAACGAAGAACAACTTCCGAGATCGATCCATTTATCTTGATGTATGGGAAGCATTACTTAGTTTAAGGGAGCACGTACGGGAGTACAATGTGCAGAAACTGGCCATGCCGAAGATAGAAGGAAATCAACTGGATTGGAGGATCATTAGGAACATGGTGGAAGTAATCTTTCAAGGTAATGGCGTCCAAATACTGGTCTGCAGCCATTCGCCCAGTGTCCAGGTTACAGCGAAGACAGTCCCTTGTTACTTCCATGCAACTGGAAATTGTAAAAGAGGGTTCAGTTGCAGATATAACCATTCCATTTTAGTTTCGTAAGAGTTCCAGGAGGAACTATCTCTTAAGGAGGGGGCAATGTAATGTGAGCCATTTCATTATTCAGTCATGCTCTAATCCTCCAAGTCCCTCTCTGTCTTATTTGGCCTTTAAGGCTCAACTTGTGCTATTATCATACATAATTAAACCCCTTAAGACCAAACATATGTGACGACTATGGCGGAGCTGCTTTCGATTACTATTCGAGAAAGAACGGGATGTTTCTAGTACTTTCCAAATATTTGTAATTTGGTGGAGGAGCGTTCTGGAACTCACAAAAAATTAGAAATTTGTATATAAATATTGGTGGAAGAACACAGTGCAATCAATTATTATATGGACAGTGAACAGTTTAAAGACATTCGAAATATATATAAATTAGAATAATAGTGTTATAAAATAAATAGGTGTTTAAATAAATTATTAATAAACTGTTGTTTAAGAAAAACAAACATCACAGTATTGTACTCTCGATTAAAAGCGATTCTACTAACAATTTAAATTATGATGATGGAATAAGAGGGTTTAAATAGTAAATAAAGAAAAAAGGACGTCTTTTTGTGATTTGTTCAATTTTTTTTGCTTTACATGTTTCTGTATTCGTTAATTTTCATTTTAGTTTGATTTGTTTTGTCAATAAAAAAGATATATTTGTGTTATATGGGTAATCACTTGGTAACTAAATAATTATTTGACAGTAATAAAATCTAACATATACATATAAAGTGTGTCGCATTTAAGATGAAGACACCCCTATATTTTGGCTATCTAAATAAATAAAGATTTGAAATTTTGCACAGTCATACATGGTTCACATTTTTCAAGATACTCAACTGAAATTTAAATCTGCATTTAGATTCGATTTTTGCGTAGGTATTTTTTAAGTGAACCAAATAAATAAAACTTTTAATTTGAGAACATTTATTGGCACAAATTTATTAACAACATAACTAACTGCAACAATTTTGTTATTAGACTAGAATTCTATCCAAATATGGCCAATGTTTCATTAAAACTAAAGCAAAACACCTACAAGTTATAAAAAAATAACAATAACAAGCATTAAAATATGGAATCATAAAATCAGGTTTCAGTGGTTCAAAAATCACATTTAAAGATTCTTAGTTTAATAATAATTAGTGAAAATATATATGTTTATTCCACCATTTGGAGGAGAGAGTTTATGGTAGTTTCTTTATTTCCTCTGTTAGCTTCAAATACTGTTTTAATAACTTCTTTTTCAATATCGGGGAATATTTCTTCAATCTGAAAAAAGATGAAACAATAGAATTTACAAATTGATTTCAACAGAGCATTAAAAATAAATGATTCAGTGTTTTTCAAAAATTTCATTACAAGACAATTAAAATTGTTTGACTGATAAAAAAAGAAAATATTACTTTTATTGAAGGTGTTTATCTTAATTTTTATTTTTTTATTAGCTTACTAATATACAGGGTGTGCGAATCTCGATCTCTCTAAGAAAAGTAAAATCGATAGAAACAATATGAAAAGAAGTTCTTAATAGACTGAGAGCTAGCGGCCGCAAGATGGTAAGATCGTACCTCCAGCTGGCGAGGCCATCAGAAAGTGTAATCTGCAAGAATTTAGTTTAAAACCCCTCCAAACAAAGCGTCAGACAACTCAAAAGTTGTAAAAAATATTGGAAAAAAAATTACAATACACATAGATGATAGATAACTCACTTGACATGGGCTCAGTTAGTAAATTTGCATTTTTCGACCGCGGTTTAATTCCCGGAGAAAGAAATCTTTTTTTATTGTTTATTTATTTAAAATACATTTTATTTATCTAATTATTATTACTAGGGGGTGGGTGGCTCAGCGATTAGAGTCTGGACTTGTGAATCTAAGGGTCCGTGGTAAAAAAAGATTGCTTTCATCGGGAATTGAACCGCGGTCGCGAAATGCCAATTTAACTGCATGTTGAATGGCTTAACTAACTGAGCTATCGAGTCATGTCGAGTGAGTTATCTAATCAAATAGGTGTTTTCTAAATTTCAACAAAAAATTACAACTTTGAGTTGTCTGAAGTCTCGTTTGAATGGATTTTTAACTAATTCCTTCCAGATGACACTTCCAGACGGTCCGGCCAACCCTTGCGGCTGCTACCTCTCAGTCTATGTGTTTCCAGTATGACGGAGCTACACTACATAAAGCAATAATTGTTCAACAATATCTAAATTAAACTGATCGGGAACATTCAGTAGGTATAAATGGACTGATACAGTGATGTCTAAATCACTGGACTTTTCATTTAAAACTATCAAAAAGGCCTATTTCTAGAAAATAATGAATAGACACTGACTTCTATTATAATTTTTTGTATACAGAAGAAAATAATGCTGATAGTTTCATGGTAAGTTTTGAAAAATTTTAGTACAAAAATATATTAAATGATGACTAATCATATGTAATGTTACAAAATTGAACTAAAAAAACCATATGCATTATATAGCTAGGAATTTATATAATTTGACATTTTATAGTAGCTTATGAACACATGAGATTTATTTTTATTCAACTTAACTTACGTTAATGCAAATGTACACACAAAAAAGTTACAGCCCTTGGAAAGTAAAAATGAAAATCGATTTTTCCAATATTTCATGAACTGTTTAACATTTTATAATGAAAATAGATACATGGCTTTCTTATCGTAAAAGCATCTTTTTCACATAAAACCACGAGATCTGTACAGTCCCTAAAATTTTAGGGGGGCTTTGAACCCCTAAAACCCCCCAAACTTTTATATGCTTTACAATTAAATTAGTATTGTGCTACCATTGGTTAAATACATCATTTTTTAAATTTTTTGCTTCTTAACACTTTTTTGAAAAGCCAGTTTTTATCAAAATGCGGCCTCTTTTTCATTATCCTTCAAAAATTTTGAAGTTGGTTGCAGTTGGCTGTTCAACACTTGTAGTTTCTATGAATAAATAACAAACAGTTGCTTTAACAATTACATATTGTCAAATGAAGCTTTCGATAATTGTGCATTAAGAGTGTTAAGAAAAATTAAACTTTCTGTTACAATGGTTTACATGTTTGCAGAAATGGGAAATTAATTCTGGGTAAATTTGCTCAGGCTAAAACAATGTTTCAGATAATTATCTGTAATTCTGGTAATCACAGGTGAATGCTAAAGGAATAATGCAGCAGCTGCAAGGCGTTATGCAAAAAATATCCCAATCGGAATATACCAGACAGACGATCATTTCTTTCCAGTAATCGTCGTTTACGGAAGATGGGTATTTTGCGACCGCAACTTGCTGGTAATAGTGGTAGTCCAAAAATTAGTCGAAGATAACCCTGGAAGCAGTACAAGGGTAATAGCAGCTAAATTAGATGTTGGTCATATGATGGTTTGGAGAAGTTTGAACGAACAACAGCTTCACCCCTATCACTTAACAACTGTTCAAGAATTACTAGATGAAGATTATCCTGGGATTTTGTGACTGGTTCTTAACGGAAAACAATCGAAATATCAATTTCATTAATCACATTTTGTTTAACGATGAAGCTACCTTCAACAGAAATGGCACTACGAATTACCGTAACGAACACAAATGGGCCGAAGAAAATCCTCACGCAAAAAAAATTACTCATCACCAGGCAGGCATTGTGTATTTGTGCTGCACATATCCTATATGCATTATATAGCTAGACATTTATATAATTTGGTAGCTTTTGAACCATGAGATTTATTATTATGTTTTACTACCTAAAATATGTAATTTTTTAATCTCATAATTATTATAAAAAGTGTATTTACCTGCTTCAGTTCAGTTTCACTTAAAATGGGTGGTTCTGGAGACACTGATGGTTCTGATGCTGGTACAGGATATACAGCCATTGGTTTAACAGGACCTCCACCAGTCCTTGGTACTACCATAATGGGTTGTGATACTGGGTACATGGGATTAGTAGGCTGGCGAAAAAAAAAATTTATTTAAAATAATGTTATTAAGATACATTAACAGAAAGGACCCCGCACTTTTTATACTGATTTTGGGTAGTGTCAGAATTTGTTCAAATTTTAGTATATTAAAAGCAACTTTCTTATGGACCCCAAGTTTGCATGTCTACAGGGTGAGCTATTAGAAGGAGTCAAAAGTAAGTAGTGCAGAATTAATATTTTCATATGTATCTCTACCACTCCAAGTATAGATGTCAATCTACCACTCTTACTTCTTCATATTTTTATTTTTGTAGATTTGGTGGGTGTTGTGCAGTATTACTAAGAACAACTTTAAAAGTTCATTTTTAAAGACATTTTTGATAGAATTTTAATATTTGTAAGAAAGTTTTCTGTATGAGTGTCTTTGTTTTTTGCAACCCAGCGTGAATTTATGAAACAATCACATTAACTCACATTTTCCAAGTACAATATTTGGTGACAATATTACTTTTTTTTAAATAGTAGTTGGTTTCAATAATTAGAAATATGATTCAGTGTTGTATTTTTAACACAGCTCTTTCAGTATTTTTTTTAATCTAATATTGTATATAAATAGTTAATGTACCTATGTAATAAAAGATTTTAAAAAATTCTGTTTCTTTTATATAAATTTATAATTTAGTGAGAAACTGTAAAATAGACTGTATGATTAGGGTGGTAGTAGGAATGTGTAGTTAAATACAATAAGTAATTCTTGTATCATGATAAGAGTTTCCGCTGATTAGAGTTTTATATTTTTTGTGTATGATCACTAACACTTCTAAAATAGAAATGCTATAAGGTTAAAATTTTATGCTCTAATAATAAAGGCTTGCATGAAACATCAAGTTAACATTGCACAGAAATCTAAGAACAGTTTTTTGGAACACAAACACTATGACACTTTAGTTCAAGCAAGTTGTGGATGTGGGTTTAAACAAAGTTCCTTTAACAGTAATAATTTTAATCACATAACAAAACAGAAAAACTGAGACGATTAACAAATGATTATTAAAATAAATGAATGAATGCCGAATAAATAATTATAACACAAGTCTCGACACAAAGTTAAAAAACGATCAGGTATCTGTTAATCAAGTCTTAAAATCTTACAACAATACTGAGCTAATATTATGCAATGTCTTTTGGCATATATGGATGGTGGCGTTGCGGGCACTCTTTTTATAGCTGATCATCTTATTACAACACTTTTTTAAATAGGATCCCCTATCATATTACATATCTTGAATGTTATTCTACTAGTGAATAATAAACACATTTAGTTATTTCAAAATTTAGACTCTTACAAACTGTTCTTATTACATAGCTTTCAGAAGCTAACTTATTACATAATAAGTTAATGTATACTGGGTAGTTCGCATTTTAAATTCTGATCAATGCAAATTCCAAGAAAATCGGTGTCTAGTAGATTTTGTATGTTTTGTTGACCAAGAACAACACCAACGATTTATTAAAATAATATAAGTTAATAATTTTAATAGTTAAATATCTTCATTTTTGTTGTGCCACATTATGGTCGTATCATCAGCAAATACAGTAAATAATTCATTAATATTGGGCAAGTCATTAATGTACAATAAAAAAAAAGTAGCAGCCCTATAACAGAGCCTTGAGGTACACCACTGGCTACAAGACAAATTATCATTCTTGACCACCACACTTTGACATCTGTTTGACAAATAAGATTTCAACCATTCCAAAGCCCTACCCCTAAAACCATATTTTTCCAATGTATTAAATAATATTCTGTAATTTACAGAATACTGCTGCAGCAACTGATTTTTATTTAGCTCCAAATATAATTTTTCTATGTCATTGCATGTGCTAATCAGGACTTTGGACAAGTATTTGCATGATCATTTTTTTTAATGTTTGAACTACATGAAATACTTACAGTGTATGTCAAAACAAGATTTATCATTCCTTCAACTCCTTCTCCTTGTTTACCATTAAGAGGATACCAATCCTCATGCGTTTCTCCATTCAAAACTTGTGGTGGAATATTTATTTGAGCCCAAGCAATGAGTTCATCCATTGTAAATGATCTTTCATCGAATATTTCAATAGTTAAGGTGTTAATACCATGAGGTAAAAAGCTATAAAAAATGGAACTATTAGTTATTACAATAAAATATAAATGTCCAGTTTGAGCTCTTCTTGATTTAGACTTTTTTGACAAAACATTACTAAAATAACCTTTTAAGATTAAAATAACCAAAAAAGGTTGACAGCTGTGTGCACGTAGTTTAGATTCAAAAGGAAAAACTTGTATTTTGTGCAAAACTTTTTTATTAATCAATGCAAAGCGCTTTCGGCTTATTTGCCATCATCAGTGCTCATCTACAAAAATTGTGGATGTAAACTTACAATTTAAAAAGATTTTAAAAAATATATTATAAAATCTGAATTAGACTTTTAAGTCAAAAGTTAAAATAGAATATATACAATTGTTTGAACAAATTAAAATTACAAGAAACAAAGTGACAAAAAACTGGTATTGGGAATAGTGAGCCCTTACAAATCAAATCTGACCTCCAGAAGCAAGTTAGCTTGTGTGGAATTAAGGAATCATGCCACACTCACTATTCACAAAATTGAAAAAAGGTTAACAAATTAGTTAAAATTTAAAGAAATTTACAATTAGAGGGTGACTGTGGAAGATATATTGAAATTTGAATCTAGAATACAATATTTGATATGAAGAAAGTAAAACGCAGAAGGCCAAAGTAAAAAAAAACTGAAGTTTTTTTTATATATTTTATATACATTATAATTATGAAAAAGTCTACCTACTGTCCACAACGTATCCAACAAGTTCCTGGTCATCCTCACTGAATATAATTTTGGGAGTGAGGATGACCAGATTTATTATTATTATTATTAATGTGCATGTCCTGGCCATTGCTGCTCCAACTGGTTCTGACAATTGGAAACATTACATAGTTGCCAGGGTAAATAGTAATATTTCAAAACTAGGAAAAACCAAATTTGAGTCATTAGAGATGCTGTCAACCTGACAAACATATATTTCAAGGGCAAGGAAAATGTTTAGAAATAAATAATATATTCTTTAATTTTAGATTATTTTGATGTACTTTTTGTGAAACTGTTTTTCCTGACCCTCAAAATTAAAAGGTAAAAAACCAGCAGAAGAAGAATGGACGCATGACAATGTGGCTGGTGTAACATTCAAACTCTAATCGTCGGTGCAGAGTCGAGTAGACAGCACATCAATAGATTACTAAACTACAAGACTAACCACAAAAAAAATATAACAAAAACTAAATTTACCAATAAACAACTTTATTCCATCTAGGGTTTTTACTCCCATTTGGATCAGTTGGAGTCTCATAAATAGAATGTCCAACTCTAATTCTACAATAAGGATCCATTCTAGTCATACCATAATTTTTAGCCAATTTGGCTTGAGCAACTGTAATACTAAGCCGACCAGCTGGATTTAAGACATAGGGAAGTGAACCTCCAGCATACTGCTGCTGAAGAGCCAATGCTGTTTGCCTGTCTGCAGCTTCCTGCTGCTCTTGAACCGAGATATTTACACGTAAAAAGTCATCTGGAAGAGGGCCTAATAAAACCTAAAAATGACATGATACATATAGGAATCAATCATTATTTGTATTTCATTAAGTATTTGACAAATATGGAAAATTATTTGTTATATTAGTTTTAATAATAGTTTAGCGTTAATAAAATAGTTACTTACTCTATTCCGCTTTTCTTTAATTTTTTCAGAGACTGCTGAAGCCATTATCTTGTTTATATTTGTAATAACATTCATGAATTTATAACAAAATTATTTTAAAAATATTTCTAAACCAACTCACTCAACTCGGCTTATTTTGATATTTTGTAAATTTTGTTGTGTTGGTGAATCGAGAATAAAGTGACATTTGACATGACAGATAAAGTGTTCCGAAATCAAAGAAGTAGAGAGGGTAGAACGATAAGGTACCGTCTGCGCATCCATCACGAGTGTAGAAATTATGTGTGATTCAGCCTTCCACTTTTACATACGTAAATGACAAGGAGAGGTTGCCCTAAAGCACTGTAAACAAATTCCAGGATCGACTTTATTCAGCGATTATGTTCATGTTCAGCTCTGTTTTTTGTTTGTGTTTTGGCTGTTGTAAGCTTTTTTGGCGTCAATTCTTTGTTATCTTGCTTATATTTATGATTTTTTATGCTTTTATTCCGATTTAGTATTAAATTATACTTGTTAATTATTTTTCGATGCACTATTTTATAATTGTTTCACAAAATGTTGTTAAACCGTCCCTGAATTTTGTTTACAAAATGTGCAAAACGAAATTGTGCATAGTGTCCAGACTTTTTCATTGACAGTTATCATTCTACCCCTCTCCACTTCATTGTCCGAAATCCAGTATTATGCATTCCAACGACCTGTCAAACAATCAGTGGGAAATTCTTGTATATCTAAGGGGGTAGCGACATAGTCTTGCAACTTGGACGCTATTTTTATTCGAAGTAGTAGTCGCCAAGCCTGCCAATTTATGAAGAAATGTATAGGTAGGTTTTTAAATATTATTTTTATTGTGTTTGACATAAAATATTTAAATGTAATCCATTATTCATGATTTTACGTCGTAAAGTAGATAGAATACACCGTATGTCGCCACCCTTAAATATACCAAACCAGAGACAACAAATAACCTTCCCACTGGCAATTCATTTGTTTGGAATGCCCATCTATGGGAATGCCTAATTACAGTTCTGTTGACAGTTCAGTGATGAAAACTTTAAATGCTAAGGGTGAGATTACAGGAACGTCTGCAACTTTGCAGATCTGCAAATATGGCGGCAACTTTGAAAATCTGCAAATATGACTGACTTACACATGCAAGTATCAAGTTTTCATATTCCAAATTTGGGTTTAGTGTTGTTTGGAGTAATAAACCACAATCAATATTGTGAATTTGCAGATATTTTTTGGAATACTTGCATTTGTAAGTCCGCCATATTTGCAGATATGCAAAGTTGCAGATCTGCAAAGTTGCAGACGTTCTGTAACTGTAATCTCACCCTAAATAAAGAGAAAATTACGAAAACTAGGTTCACAAAACCTTAGAGTATATACTGCCTAATATAATACTAAACAAAGATAAATATGCTCGTAATAGAAAACCCGTGAAATACTCGTGAACTGTTTATCAGTTCACTTGTAGGTAGAAAACATGAATTAGATAAAATACTGAACGTGGTCAGAAACTCAGAACGTCCCACGGTAAGTTACTCCTTAACAGCGATGTCAGATTACCGAAATTGTAATATTTATAAAAATAGACATCGCGTGTTGGGTATGTAGTTTCAGATATGTTCAGTGTTTTGTAGTGTGTGATGTGCGATGACCAATTTTATTTATTGATCAGGTTATATTTATATGGTTTAAAAATTAATAAATCTTAATTTTCGTAAATTTGTCAACATTGCTCTCAAAGTATCACCACTTGCGCATGCGTAAAAAAGTATTCTATCCGGTTCACCAGGTGTCAGTGTTGTCGCGAAAAGTAAGATGAAGATATTCTTTTCTATTTTCTTTGTATTTATTTTCGTTGTGTATGTTTGAAAAGTTATGGAAGTTTGCTAATAAATTTAAATTGAATTGGCTTAATATGGTATAATTTTTACAAAGTTTAAGGTGTGCAATACGAGAAAATATAGGCGAATGTAAGAAATTCAAATTTAGCGCTTGCGTCTATGTTCAAAGAGACAAACATTTTCCTGGCACGTCATCAACCATGATGAAAGCAGGAAACCGCGTCCCATCGGTAAAGATGGAGGAAAATGATATAGATTTATATGCAGATGATATTGATCAGGACTTTGCTCAGGTAATAATTATATTTTGTACAAAATTTAGAAATTTTAAGGCTTTTAACCTACTTTTCTAGAAATTGTATGAATCGCGTCACGCGGTGTTATTGATTTTTAGTTCGCCTTGTCCTCCATGTTTGTCATTTACTGATATTTAAATTTTTGTTTTATTAGGACGATTTTGGCGGAGAAAACGTAGATTTATATGACGATGTGATAGCTGCACCAGCTGGGGCTAATAATGTAGACAATTCTGGTGATTCTAATCATCACGCACCTCCCGGTGCCAATGATGAAGCCGGCGGAAATTTCACAGGTCCAACAGTCACTGCTAACAATGTTAATTCCTCAGGAAGAAGACACCAACTTTATGTTGGAAACCTAACTTGGGTATGTATAATTTTATTTATCGAAGCTCTTAGTATTTACTTTTTGAATTAGTGATCTACAATCTTATCTGAAAATAAAAAGATTCACCATTGACTGTAGAATACCAGAATTTGGCTCCGGTACGCCTTAGGTAATTTGGAATTGAAAAAAAAAGGTCATCTTGTATAATTTTGTATATCTTAAAAAAATTGCATATAATAAACTATTTTTTGAGAAAATTTGTGAAATTCCATGTTTATAGACAATTTGCCGAGGGACCCACCCCTGACCTAAATTGTGTACACCTACAACCTTTTGGTAGAAAAATCTTCCATATTTCTACAGAAATCCTTCATACAGGGGGTGGAGTGGCTTGGTGGTTAGTCATGACTTTGAAATCGAAAGGTCTCATGATCAAATCCCACCAGTGGCGAGGATTTTTATTTAATAAAAAAAAAATTAAATATTAATTCTAATGCAGAGGTAAGATTTCCCACTCGATCATTCACTGTTGGTTTCTGATTAAAAGTGCTGTTGCTAAAGTGGCTCTGGGAAGCAGTAACAAAGTCTGCATAGATCAGGAGGCCGATAACCAAAGTAGTTGATGCCGATGACACCAAATAAAAAAAATCATTCATACATCCTTGGAAATCCTCATACATCCTTCACACTTTCTCTGAAATCCTCATACATCCTTACACTTTCTGTATTGCTTTCTGATGTGTCAGCATCTTAGAAGTTGATATAAACAGTGTGTAAAAAAATTATTTAGATATTTGATTTTAAATAAAAATATTTGAATTTAAAGAATACAGAATAGTTTTTTTTTTTTGCAACCTTTTTTTTACAATGTTCCTCTCAGTGTATCATAAATCAGTTTACTTGGCACCTTTGTGTGACTAAAAGTTATAAGTATACACAAAACCATGTTATGCAATGAAATTGTTTCAGCAGTGGTAATGATGTCAATTTGTAATTTTACTTCCCATCATATAGAATATAATTTATTTGTCAATAAAGTATTTTTCTTTTTACATTTTATGTGCTTAAAAAACTTATCAGACTAGTCAAATTAGCACACAGTTCCTCCATACTTTCCAACAAAAATCAATTGTAGCAAACATTGGTAGTTATAATAAACCAGGCCAAGCTAACTCAAATTAACCCAAATGTTTTTGACAATTTTTGTTAAAAAATACTATTTAGATAATGGACGATAAATACCTGTAAATTTCGAAATGATGGGTAATGATTTATGATAAAAATATTTTATGAGTTGTATCATGTTACATAATATCAATATTATAACATTTTTGAATTGTAAACACTGATATGGAGTTGTTGGGCAATCATGCATCATTATTTTGCATTCAAATTGCACTCGCACTGATCAAATTAAAATTTCTTTAAATGTGAAAATTAAATATTGATTTTTGTTTTATTCTTAATTCACAATTCAGTATCTTTAAGACATAACTTTTTCTTATAACTTTTTTTTTTCTTAGAATCATTTCTGAGCAATTTCCACTAATGGAAAATAATTAATTTTTGAAAAGGCATAATTTGCCAATAATCTAAAAGCCCATACGAAGAAAAGTTTTAAAAGACAGTTGTTTCTTTTTTAACAATCTAAAATTTTGTCATAGAAGACATTTTGTCAATCAAATGTTTGTTTTTCTGGTTTCATATTTATTTTTATGAGCATAAGTTTTAAATATGATGTAAGTATGTTTTTCATGCAGAAACTTTTATTTAAACATTTTCTCAAAATGACAAAATATTTTCTATAAGTACTCAAATTTATGTTGGACGCTCTATATTTTTTAAAATTAAAAGTAAAAACTATTACAGAAGTCCTCAGAAAAGTATGGAATGATTATTCTATTAAAGTTTATGAGGGAGCTTTGTGTAATACTACAATTAAAGAATATTTGAATCTTGTTAATATTCACATATTTTATCTAGTTACAAACTGAAACTGCAAAACTGTAAGAAAATGATAAAAATGTTCAGTTAGAAATGTCGAATCTTGCAAATTTTGATCAATTTTTCTCAGAAAATATTAGTTTTTCCACATTTTTTTTTCTCTCTCTAAAGATTCAGACGTACCTAAAGCCTCAAGAATATTTTTCCTAAATTTTATTTATAAAAACTGTAGCATCAAATATTTTTCAGTGGACAACTGATCAAGACATTGAAAATGCAGTTCATGACATTGGTGTAAATGATTTCCATGAAGTGAAGTTTTTTGAACACAGGGCGAATGGCCAATCTAAAGGATTCTGCGTCATCTCTATGGGCTCTGAACCCAGCATGAGGCTGTGCTTAGAACTCCTTCCCAAAAAAGAGATCAATGGTCAAAATCCTGTAGTTACCCCTCCCACCAAACAGGCACTAAGTAATTTTGAAAGTCAGTCTAAAACACGTCCCTCCCCTACTAATAATACTAACTCACGTCCTCCCCATCCTAACCATCCTAATTCTAATGTTCACTCAGGTCCTATGCAAAACTACGGAGGTAGAATGCCAATGAACCCATCCATGCGTCCCCTTCCCCCCGGTATGCAAGGAGGCCCTCGTATGCAGGGTCCTCCTGGTTTTAATGGGCCCCCAGCTATGAATCAACAGCCTCCCAGATTCCAGGGTAATCATCCACAATGGAATGGACCTAGACCCAATGGCCCTGGGCCTAATATGGGTATGAGACCAATGGGACCTCCTCCTGGTCAACCTGGTGGACCTCCTAGACCACCTATGGTAAGCAAATTTTTATTTTTAAAATTATACTTAAATATTGTATTTCTATGCAGGGGTAATATAGTATATGGAAACACCTGAATATCTTAGGACTTGAAAAAGAAAAAGAAATATTTTTACACATATTGCAGGTTGGTCTGGAAAAATTATCATATATTTAATTTCCTTTATGATATAGTCAGGTGTTTCCTGACTATATGAACAACGATCACCCAATTGACTCCTAGCAAAATATTTTCTTGTACAAATTTAATACTTTTTTCTTGAAAAATATAAGTTGAATGGATGATTTTTTCAAAATATACTTCTGTGCAAAAAGGTATTACATTTGATTATATTTTTTATCTTTTAAGTTAATTGTTTACTTGTTTTCTTTATATATGTTTTATTTAAGCTCCCATACTATTTCTATTATACTACCAACATATATAGCAATAAGTAAATATTAAGATTGAAAATACAGTTAATTCATTTTATAGATTCAAAGTAATTGTTGAAAAAGTCCTTAAAAAGAGAATAATACATTTTTTGGATAAACATGAATTAATTTCACAGTGTCAATATGGCTTTAGGAAAGGTAAATCCACAGAAGATGCAATCTATGAGTTAACTTCATATATATACCAAAAGTTAGACAAAAATACGCCAAGTTTATGTATATTTGTGGACTTGTCAAAAGCTTTTGATACTGTGTCTCACGCGAAACTTCTCGAGAAAATAAGGTCATACGGATTAAGAGGCACAGTGTTTGACTTGATTTCAAGTTATCTTTCAGGACGAGTCCAATACGTGGAAATTGACAGTGTCGTCAGTGAGCCTGAATTGGTCTCTTGTGGTGTTCCTCAGGGTACAGTATTGGGTCCATTATTATTCCTGATATATATAAATAATTTATTAAAGCTCAATACCACAGGAAAAATTATGAGTTTTGCGGACGATACTGCCATTCTTTACGAGGACTCGAATTGGAATGATTTAAAAAGTCAAACTGAAAAGGATTTTAAGAAAATACAATTGTGGTTCCAACATAACCTTCTCACACTAAATATTGAAAAAACGCACTATTTACCATTTACATCATATGAAAATAATCTACCGAATTTTAATACTTTAGAAATAGATCAGTCCAGTGCAATTCCAGCTGCAAAATCAGTTAAATATCTAGGTATCATAGTTGATAGACATCTAAGATGGGACCTTCATATTAAATCGGTTGTACAAAAATTAAGAGGCATGTTAGGGAAATTTAGACACCTTAAAAAATTGTTAACTGAAGTTCACCTAAAGACGCTCTATTATGGATTAATTCAATCGCAGTTGAGTTATGGAATAATAGGATGGGGCGGAGTAAGTAACTTTTACCTACAAAAAGTAGACATTATTCAAAAATGGCTAATAAAAATAATATATGGGAAAAGTCGTACTTACTCCACAAACTCCCTATTTAAATTATCGGGGCTATTAGATATTCGGCAGATTTTTTGTTTAAAAATATTATTATTTACTAAACAAAAAAAAATTAAAATAGAACCCATTTCTCACAAGTACGAAACGAGAATTAAGAGAAGAGCATATATTACACCAAGATGCGAAAAAACTGCAGGTCAAAAATGCTGTTCCTATCTAGCACCTAGAATATTTTCAATAATTCCCGATTTTTTAAAAAATATACAACAATACAAACACTTTAAACAAAAAATTAAAAAATGGATAGGGGAAAGTGACAGAACAATATTTCATAAGTTTGTAAATTCAAATATGTAAATAATATAAAATGTGTTAATAATATAATATAGGTAAATAATATAATATAAAATAATAGATTTGAATTTGACGCTATACCTAATTACATTACATAAAATTACGACAACATGATTAGAACAATATTCCCGATTATAACAATACACCCGAATATGACAATACACCCGATTATGACAATACACCCGATTATGACAACTCATATAATTATGAACTATTCCTGATTTTGACAACTCACTTAATTTTGAAATTTCATTGTAATCTTTTAGTTCTCGAATGATAATAGAAATTATTATAGTAATTAAGATTAATATTAAGGATACAAATGTATGACTTTACTAAATAAGTATATCACAATACAAGCTGAGCCTCTTCTGGGGTAACGCTTCTGTGATTAGTCGTAGTTTATTCAGCATAATATTGTAATTTTACATGTAAATATTTTTTTGGTATTGAATAAACTCATTATTATATTATTATTAGAACTGTAAAAATAATGGTAATGATCTTATGGAATTAACACAATTATCTAGTTAATATATTTTATATTTTTTGCAAATATGTAAAATTATAATCTAGAAATGTACAAAAAGGTAAGTGTTGCTATTAAATATTTGATAGAAACAAAATTTAAAATACTAATCTTTGCTATTGGTGATTGTATTATTTCTAGTTATTTTGATGTTCTAAAAGTTTATATTTAATGAAATTTTTATAGCAGTTTATTTAGCAATAATATAATTTTGTACAAATTTTGCAATTAAATGAAAATAAGTCATATTTATAATAAATGATTTTAATTTAAACTGAAAAACTGATACCTTTAAAGAAAAGGTACTTTTTATGAGTATATTATAATGTAACAAAAAATTATGAAATTTGCATTGATATTTAAATATAAAAATGTAATTTTATTTTGTTCAATACAATGCTTAGTTTAATTAATATTTTATACCTATCCATTAACCATAGAAATTCAAGTAATGAGCAGGATTGCACATAAAAATGATTTGAATAGCAAAGGAATAAAAGTTTATACAGGGTGTCAAAAAGTTTTATATAATTTGGAAAATTTATCTAATATTTCTCAAAAGAAAAAAAATGTATTATGGATAAAAAATTATTGATCTCTTAGAAATAATTTCATAAATTTCATGCTTGATTTTGATTTTTTTTCTGTGTATGTATGATAAAACTTTTTTCCCATTTGTATACAACTTTTTGAGACACATCCCTATGTCCGTAATTCAAATTTCTTAATAATAGTGCATACTTTTAATAGTACCAATTTTATTTATATGGTTTTCAAACAATCATGTGACATATTAATATACTAACGTGCTATAAAAGAAATCTGTATATTTAGGTTGGAGGGATTGAAAGTTTGCTAAAAAAAAATTATTAGTAAAACTGTAATAATTTTTTTATTAGGTATTTTTCATCTGTCCATTAACCCTTAAAAATTCCTTTGGTAAGTTTTTTCTCCCTGACTATATTATGTAATCTAAAAGAATGAATTGTAAACCTTAGAGAAATTTTTTGTGATATGATTTTAGTTTTTAACTTTATGTAATTTTTAAAAATTGATTCCAAAAAGAGTCTAGGAATACAATGAAACAAAGTTTTTTAAAGTTTTCCAATTAAACGTGTCCCCTAAGAATAGGAACAGTTTGAATGGTAGTGTAATATTTTTTTTATATTTTGTCTCTTATAGTGCTAAAAAATATTTTCCTATAGTTGTCCCCTTATTTTTAGAAATATACATGGTGTTTTTATTGAAATCAATAATTCAAAACCCAGGGAAATTTGTGGCAGGCTAATTCATTCTTTTACTGTTGTTTAAGATTCTGATTTACCATCATCAACCATAATCCATCAACAAAGTGTTTATTGTTTTTGCAAATTGTCAAAAAGTTTTTTTTGCGTTATGACAGTCTTGGTCTGAGAATGAGAGGGTTCTTTGCAAATAATCCTCTTATCTGTTATTTTTTGATCTTTTTGTATTTGAAGAAACTACAAATGCTAGGCCTTTTAATAATTTTCAGAAATTTTGTATTAGGTAGATATTTTATGCTGGTAGTGCTTGATAGTTACTCATTCGCTTTTTATGCTTCTGTACTATCATCAATTTAAATAGCCTTAATTATTCATTGGACAAAATGTCCTCATTCAATAATTAGATCGATTGTGAACTGATTAAGGAAATTAATTACTGATCATAATCAAAAAATGTTTTATCTAAGTAGGACAGACTATGTATTTATTAGCTTTCCCTCTTTAGTATAAAATATTCTGCAAATTACATATTATTTTTTTGTAAACACCATGTATAATTTTAGCGCCCTATATCAGTAATGTGAATGTATGATATTTCGTTTTTTTTTTTATTAACCAGTATTATTTAATGAATGTTACTGTTATTCCGTTTTTAAAACAATATATCCTATATTTCCAATTTTAAAAAATATACACTTGTTTCAAATGTCATTTCGATTTTTTTCTGGTAGAAAAATTGCCCAATATGATGGGCTTTTCCCATGTTTGTTACTAAATTATAAAAAAAACAAATACCTACTATTTCTACTTCTATTTTAAATAATCAACCCTTGTCTTTATTTTATACTTAAAGTGTACCAATATTAAGGAACTATAAAAAGACAGTATTTGTACATTATGAAACACTGTTAACTATTTTATAAGGGTCAATTGTGAGAAAATTTTAAATATTTTAATTAATTTAGTTTGTGACTAAAGAAACAATTCAGTTTTTAAAAGAAAGTCAACCAACAGGAATATACGAGCCCTAACAGCTATATGGTCAGACGATGTATGAAATTAAAAAATATATATATTTTTGAATGTTTCTTTGTCTTCTGGATTAAAAAATTGAGTTACATGCTCTACCTAACATAAAGTCTGATCGTAACGAATTATTTTTTTATTTTGCATAGACTAAACAAAAATATAACAAATTTGCTGATAAATAAATTATTGGACACTTAAATTTTATAACTTAAATCGTACATAAATAAGAGGTAACATCACCTTTTGCAGCAATAAGGGCTTATATGCGTTTTGACATGGAATAAAGTCTTTTATGATTCGGAGGTGAAAAGATTTCCAATTTGCGTGATTTTTGCCTTTAATGTTCAGTACGCTGAGGATCATTACGCAAATACTTCTTCATCTGTTGCTATTATCGGGGCTTGACGGCCATGATAATACTTTTACATCATGGTCAC